GCAGAAATCGAACATAAACGAAAATAGCTTTTTTATTGTCTGTCCCAATGTCTGAAAGGTCCTGCTTTGATTGGTACCCTAATGAAAAAATCAATTAAATTAAATTAGCATAATACTAAGAATTTTAAAATATGAATAAAAAACTCAAAAGAGAAACATTAATGTTTTGAATTCCATTATGTGTTGGTCTACTTCGTAGCTGTTGCTAATCACAATACCACTCAATATACTAATTTATACGATACGGCCATTATGCTAAAATTAATTGATTTAATATGTTAATTTCATAGAAAAGAATATCAAACATACATATAAAAACATTATGATCTCTAAATTGGGTTTGTTTATTATTAAACTTTTATAGGTAGCTTCTAAAATTGGCTATTAAACTTTTTGTATGTGTTACTTACATTAGCTAAAATGCTAATGAGGCAAGGGCATGTGGATGAGGTCAAGCAGATGTGTAAGGGGGCTTAAATGAGAGAACAAAAAAGGGAGAATCTTTAAAAGATTGAAACCAGTGTTATGTGATGCTCTTGGCACTAAAGTTGAATGAAAATACGAAATATGAATAAATAAATTAATTATTTTGTGAAAAAAAAAAAGAAATAATAATTATTTAGTAAAAAGAATAGTAAAACAGAGAATGAAAGAAGTCGGCAGGTACGGTCGGGGAAGAAACATTTTTTCTCCTTCAAGCGGCTTTCGTTTTTAATCTCTTTATAGTATTAGTAGATGATTTCCCACGTTACACGCGATAAAGTATTTTTTTAAAAATCAAATAAAATTAAAAGTATTATTTCGTAGTTAAAAGTTGCTAATGATTTAAGTTCAATTTTCTTTATACAAAATAATTTCTTTTTTTCTGTTTATTGGCACTAATTTTATTTTTATTAATAACGTTGAAAATAACATCATTCACAATTCAATTAATAAAAAAAATTGAATTGGTTATTTTATCTAATTTTATATCGTAATAACCAAGTAAGATTTTGTCGTTTCTAAAAAAATTTCCATTTCTATTGATGTTATAGTGTCGACGTTGTCGTTAACACATTGCACCAAAGTACTATTACTGTGTGTGTAAATTCTTTTGAAGCTTGAAAATTGATAAAATAAAACATAACATATTATGATCAATTGTGTTCAATATCCGTTTGATTAAACTCGTGTAAATTATTGTAGTTTTGAATAACAATATCTAAAATAAAAATATCAATTATCGATAGTATTGTTTTTTGTTAGATTCAATAACGAATTTGGACATTTAGATTAGACGGTTTTTTCAAGTTTACTTAAATTGCAAAAACAAAATTTATTATTATTTTCTTATAACGTTATATATAAAAGATGAGTTTAATGTAGAATTAAAAATGATCTAGACCAATAGCTTGTGAAATTGGATTAATTGAATTATGGCCGATTTTATTATTAAGGTTTGGCTAATTTTAATTAGGGATTAATAGGCTAAATGAGAGAGAATGTCATGTCATATTTTTTTACAATGTCATATCACATTAAAATTGGGAGAATGATTTTGGTGAAAACACGTAAGTTTTTTTTTTCAAAAAAACCACTATCTAATTAATATATAAGGAATATGATTTTTTTGGTTGCCGTCAAACACTAATCATTCTCTAAGTTTAATATATATAGTCGAGCATTATTAGATTAGGTTTAATTGTGTTAATAAAATTTCAAATTCATTTATGTGATTAAACTTGGACTAATTTATTAAGTTTGGGTTAAATGTAATAAGAGAATAATGGGTTAGAATGTCATGTCATATTTTTTAGAATGTCATGTCACATTTTAATTGTGAGAATGATGAATTTGGTGGAGACACATAAGCAAACTCTACAAAATCACTTCACAACTAATATATAAAAGATGAGTTTAATGTAGAATTAAAAATGATCTAGACCAATAATTTGTGAAATTGGATTAATTGAATAATGGCCGATTTTATTATTAAGGTTTGGCTAATTTTAATTAGGGATTAATGGGATAAATGAGAGAGACATGTCATATTTTTTACAATACCATATCACATTAAAATTAAGAGAATGATTTTGGTGAAAACACATAAGTTTTTTTTCAAAAAACCACTATCTAATTAATATATAAGAAATATGAATTTTTTGGTTGCCGTCAAACACTAATCATTCTCTAAGTTTAATATATATAGTCGAGCATTATTAGATTAGATTTAATTGTGGTAAGTAATTGTGTTAATAAAATTTCAAATTCATTTATGTGATTAAACTTGGGCTAATTTATTAAGTTTGGGCTAAATGTAATAAGAGAATAATGGGCTAGAATGTCATGTCATATTTTTTAGAATGCCATGTCACATTTTAATTGTGAGAATGATGAATTTGATGGAGACACATAAGCAAACTCTACAAAATCACTTCACAACTAATATATAAAAGATGAGTTTATTTAATGTAGAATTAAAAATGATCTAGACCAATAGCTTGTGAAATTGGATTAATTGAATTATGGCCGATTTTATTATTAAGGTTTGGCTAATTTTAATTAGGGATTAATGGGATAAATGAGAGAGAATGTCATGTCATATTTTTTACAATACCATATCACATTAAAATTGAGAGAATGATTTTGGTCAAAACACATAAGTTTTTTTCAAAAAACCACTATCTAATTAATATATAAGGAATATGAATTTTTTGGTTGTCGTCAAACACTAATCATTCTCTAAGTTTAATATATATAGTCGAGCATTATTAGATTAGGTTTAATTGTGGTAAGTAATTGTGTTAATAAAATTTCAAATTCATTTAGGTGATTAAACTTGGGCTAGCTTATTAAGTTTGGGTTAAATGTAATAAGAGAATAATGGGCTAGAATGTCATGTCATATTTTTTAGAATGCCATGTCACATTTTAATTGTGAAAATGATGAATTTGGTGGAGACACACAAGTAAACTCTACAAAATCACTTCACAACTAATATATAAAAGATGAGTTTAATGTAGAATTAAAAATGATCTAGACCAATAGCTTGTGAAATTGGGTTAATTGAATTATGGCCGATTTTATTGTTAAGGTTTGGCTAATTTTAATTAGGGATTAATGGGCTAAATGAGAGAGAATGCCATGTCATATTTTTTACAATATCATATCACATTAAAATTGGGAGAATGATTTTGGTGAAAACACATAAGTTTTTTTCAAAAAACCACTATCTAATTAATATATAAGGAATATGAATTTTTTGGTTGCCGTCAAACACTAATCATTCTCTAAGTTTAATATATATAGTCGAGCATTATTAGATTAAGTTTAATTGTGGTAAGTAATTATGTTAATAAAATTTCAAATTCATTTAGAAAATTAAACTTGGGCTAATATATTAAGTTTGAGCTAAATGTAATAAGAGAATAATGAGCTATAATGTCATGTCATATTTTTAAGAATGCCATGTCACATTTTAATTGTGAAAATGATGAATTTGGTGTAGACACATAAGCAAACTCTACAAAATCACTTCACAACTAATATATAAGGGATTTGACCCATTTTTGGCCCATTTATAACTTTTTGAGTTTTGTTTTAAAAKAWAAAAAAAAATACCTAATTAATTTGGGAAAGTAGTCATTTAAATTCCAAAACTATCAAATTGAGGCCATTTTTATTTTTATCAAATCAAATTTCGGCCATTTAAATTCTCACTTTTAATTTGGAACATTTAAATCAAATTTTCTGTTAATTTTTGTTAAAAATCCTAAATTAGATACGTCGCTAAGTTGATTAACATAATAAATTAACAATGTTAGTTATTCATTTTATTTTTCGTTCAAAGAAAACGACTCATTTGGACTTGTTTTTAAAAACATAGATTTGAGAAAAAATTGAATGAGAAGAGGCCGAACTCAAAGCAAAATCGACTCATGACCTCTAAATCAAAAACAAACATTGAGCCACTATAACTTTTGTTACAATTAATTAAACGATTAGTATACAACTTTAATCGGTAAATGGTTTTTTAAACATAAACTTTAATTTTCTAAAAATCCTCAATTCGACTTTTCTCTTTCTTTCATTTGATTTTGCTCTCACTAGTGTTCCTCTTGTTTTTCTATCTATTTTTTGGGATTTATCTTCCCTCATCAGGAACTCATGATTTTTCTGTATTAAATATCGAAATAGCGAGCTACAACATTATGAGTAAATCGAGGATCAATGGCAGAAAAAAAGACGAACTCGAAAGAGAAAAAATTGAATGAGAGGAGGCCGAACTCAAAGCAAAATCGAATGTAAAAACATAAAACTTTGGGTCAACTAGTATAGCAAAGAAATTTCCACTATAATATATCTTGTATCTTCTTTTTTTTATTGTATTCATTTGTTTATACCACAAGTTTTCTTTTTGAATTGTTAGGATATTGTGGGGAAAAAGTGAAGCACTAGACAACAAATCTGAATGACTCATCCATTCAGCTTAAAAACTTGTTAAATTTTTCATTTGAACAATTCAAGCAGTGCAATAAACACCTTTCCACATCTTTAAAGAGAACTCCGCAATGTCTTTACGCAAGATTGTTCAATGGTGGACAATCGAATCTTTACACAAGATTCACTGACTCACAATGACTTTCTGCATTCTCAACAAAAAGACATCAAATCTTTGATTTC